CGTTTAAAGTCAGATATAATCCGGTGAAGGTTGACCTAAAATCCGACATGACCCAACAAGCTGCGGCTCTGCAGACCTACAACAACGAGCTGGTCAAATGTGAGTGAGCCTATTTACTGTCAATAACACATTAGACTGATTAGCATAACAGTGTTAGCGGCTTAAATTTAAATTGTAGTATACTTACTGGTTAATATATAAATTAAGCATATTTGCCTATTAAATGACTCTATTGCGCTTTAATTTCGCAAGAGAATATGTAGACCAAGCATATTGTAGCCTGCACTGTCACCAGAGAACAATACTCGGGTTTACTTATTGTGTTAAAGTTTATTGTGTTCTCCTTATGTGTGTTTTGTAGCATTTTTATTCAGATGGCTTGTCTTGTCATATTGGGTTTATTTTAATGAGCTATTCTGCGGCCGGATTGGATCCTTTGGGGAGCCAGTGTTCTGGCCCCAGCTTGCAATGTTAACACCCTTGTGTTAAAGCAAAGTTTGCTGCCTGTAATTTTGTCTAAAACCGAAAAAAGTCCTTTTTTTGAGAGGTTAACCTGTGATGCTGCACCTCGCCTAATAATCTGATTAACCTCCTCAGATCACCTTTAACCCTTTGCGCTCCACACTGGCGCGAATGGTGTTAACAGGTATCAGCTCTGAGTGCTTGCAGCAGTCAATTTGACACTTTTTCTTCTTCTCTCAAAAGTTTTAGAAGATAAAAGACCGGTGAAGCTGAAGCTTGTCAGATGTCAGGTGTTGGTTAATCTGTTTCTGGTCTGCTGGAATTAGGGAAGCACTAATCCTACGTTTTTTAGTCCTGGTATTGATAGCGACTAACCCGCAAGTGGCTAAACCATTTCACTCACTCAAATGAAAATTAAGACCAGTAAATTCATATCGCGATATAATTTGAAGCATGTGCGGTAACGATATATATCATGATATATTCTTTTCTTCCGTATAACGTATTTTCCACACTATAAGGTACACTTAAAATCCTTTAATTTTCTCAAAAATTGAGTGTGCCTTATATATGAATTCTGGTTGTGCTTACTGACCTTGAACCGATTTGGGCGTGCAGAAATCTGTTAAAAAATGTTTTAGTACAACTTTGGTAAGCCGCACTGCTTGATGGATTGTCAGAGCATTACAGCTGCCATCATGAGGAGCTTCGCGGAGTAATCTGGGTCCAAAACTCCGTCTGCTTCAGGTCATAAAGTCAAACGAACACTAAGAGTTAAAAACGGTCTAAGATCTCCCAAAAATCTCTCAGTCAGAACATGGTATGTCATGTTTAGGTGGAAACTAGCGAGCTAACTTCCTGTTAACTTCTAACTCCGTTAAATTTAATAAATTCTGTTTTCATGGATGCCTGGATGTTAAACTTAATTGTTACACCTGGTAAAGCAGCAACGCTGATGATTTTATTAAAGATGAAAGAAT